AAGGTAGTTGCTCGGAATGCAATTTAAAAATGAATATATATTCTCAAAGTGAACCAACCGAATCGAATAGCCCGATATTACATATTTCCACTTTCGATTCTCGGATGGTAGTACACGAAAAGAAGCGGCAAGTTCGTGGTAATAGACGAATGCGCATTGGGAAAGAATTGCAAGGTACATCTACCTACGCTTGGCGACGAAATTAAGCTAATAAATTAATGGATTTCGGAGATGTTGTACCGGCTAATCTATCATCGGAAGATGTTACGCGTAAAATAAAACAGGAAGTCCAAGATAAAGAGTTGGGGTTGTTTAAAATTAAAGCGGCTCTTACTTCAGTGTTGGACATGAAGTATGGTCAAGAATTTAATGGCTGTATTTATGAAATTGGGCTTGACCATTTCTATGTGATGTATTGGACTCCCACACAGCTTTTTTTATATAAAAAATTTCAAAATGAAGACAACAATTGTAGTATTAGTATTGATGCAACTGGTGGATTCGTTAAACAAATTCCAAAACCCGAAGGTTCGAAACGAGTCGTTTATCTGTACCAGGCTGTTTGTGGTTATCGCCACAAGATTTTGCTTTTATTTCAGTTCATTTCCGAAAAGCACGATACCAATACATTAACGTATTGGATGAGAGAGTGGTTGCGTTCCGGAGGATCGATTTCAAAACAAGTAATCATAGATTACTCATCAGCACTTTTAAATGCAACTTGTTTAGCGTTTAATAACAAGCATATTAAGACATACATCGAGGACTGTATTGTATTCGATAATAGCTCATCCATGCGTGTCCAACGTTCGCGGTGTCTTATTCGAATTGATATTGCACATCTAATAAAATTAGTTGCTCGTTGGAAGTGTTTCAAACACGAATCTCCTGAAAAAAAAAGACTTTTATCTGCGCTGCGTTGGCTTGTTAAGTACGTGTACAAAGATTGACGAGTTCATTGAAGTATGCAGAGATGTTTTATCAGTAGCATTGTCGACTTATGAAAACATTGAGGATAAAGAAAATCATTGTTTCGCTGCCTATAATAAAATTATAAATCGTTTGAAATCTCATCTTTCTAACGATATACTAAACAATCCGGAAAACAGTGATCCCATGTGCTGGAACATTGCGATGATTTTGACGAGATATCTTTATCGAGCAATGCACTTGATATAATTATGAGAAAAATCGAAACAGGTAGCATTGATAACTTAAACCAAGGACGATTAAATCCATAATATTGTCCGAAATTTGGTTCATCTTTTTTAAAATTATCCAAACAGTTTGTTTTATGGACAGCTGTAGTGACAGTGATACCGAATGAGCAACAAAACTCCACTCTTGTAGAGTTGAGAGATATACATGTTGCTAGTTCAGCTCGAAGTGAAAAATACTTTCGGGAACTTAAACATCAAGTTTTTAGAAAGGGTAAGGCTATCAGAGTAGACAAATATCTTGTTATTCATCTAAGATCTTTGATGGGAACTACAAAACTATTAAATGAACCAAAGAAAGGTATATAAAACACAAGATCTTCCGTTGATGAACTCACGTGAAGAAATAGCCCATACCGATAATACAAGAAAATGTGAAAATTTTGTTGACAAGTCGATCCAGTCAATAGTAAATGATACCGGTGACGAATCTGACATTCATAAATTGGAGGACTTGTTAAAAGATTTAAAAAATGTTTTATCCCAATCAGGAGATATCATTGACAGTGTTCCCTCTGAAACATTATTTCTTAACGAAATCGAAAATTGGAAAGGTCTTATTAAGAAGACAAATCCAATTACAACGGTACCGATGCTTGTAAATGGAAATGGTTCAAAACCAATAAATATCGGTACACAGGTCGTTAGCGTACACAACACATGTGTGTCGATTCCACTATTCAAAGCATTTTAGCTGCTTATTACGATTTTGAGACATATTCCGAATACATTGCAAACAGTAACATCAACATATCTACATTTATTCAGACACTGTCAACGATGGGCGTGTCGGAAAAATTATATAAAGAACGAGGACGTATCTTAAGTGCCACGAAAGGAATAAAAGATGGAATAATGGATTGTTCGATTAACATTTCATATCTGCAAGACAAATTTATACTTCACTGACTGATGCACTGACTGTCTATTAGCGAAAACAATCGTTACACCGGTATTACATCTGAACCCAATCTTTATGTATAAATGCGGCCTGGCAGGTTTACAAGAAGCCGTAAATGAAGCTTGTAAACCAAACTATACAAACACGTGCTCACGATGCAACAGCACCAATATTACGAAAATTCATTCGGAAGGAAATCACATGATCCTTAATATTGAAGATTTTGGAAATACTTTGCTTGCAGCTAGAATGAATTATCCTAATTGCAGAAATCAATTTACAGTTGAGGAAATACCTGAAAACCTGGATTACGATAATTATAGATATAAATTTGTTTCCGCGATCATCTATATTGCTAATCCTTATTTCGCGGTCATTAGACATATTAATGATAGGTGGGAAATTCACAATGATTTGAAAGACCAAGTCATGAAAACCACTGCACGACAACTTCGGCAGAAACACAGTATACATATATTATTTTATATCAAAGTATCTAATGCAGTCATCACAAATACCTAGAAACCATCCTAAATAACAGAAAAAAAAAGATTTACAAAATTTTGAAAATTAACGAACTTTACTCTTACGCGGATCAACAATTGCCGTATAAGTTAAACTATTGAGGTATAAACGAAAAGAAAAGCGATTCCTGCGGGTATAAACGATTCTAAAGAATCGGGAAAAAAACAGATTGTAAATATCTTGAAAATTAACGAATTTCACTCTTACGCGGATCAACAATTGCTTGTAAAATTTGAACTATTGAGGTACAAACGAAACGAAAAGCGGTACAAACGGGTGCAAACGATTCTAAAGAATCGGGAAACCCCGATTTCAAAAATCTCGATGTCGGGTGCTGACCATTTTTTGAATTTTTTTCAATTATTAATTAGTCGAGGTACAAACGAAACTATTGGAGGGACAATCTGGTACGAACGAAATACTATCGTTTTCTATAAGAAAAAATTAATTCTTGAAAAGTCGAGTGCTAAGTTCACATAGCTCAAACATGTGCCTACTAGAAAGAGGTCGTAGGCCTCGTTCACTTGTTTCCGGTCCCGACGATATCAATACACTCGTCGTTATTATGATACCGACATTATTCGCTAATCATTCTGCGATGTATCAATCTCAAGTATCGATCCACGTTATCTTCCAACAGTTTCCGATTCATCTGAATAAGTTATCGAGTCACTGGAGAGGGAAACACTATCGATAAATAGAGCGGCCAATAGAGAATCTAGACCGTGAATAAGTATTGAATGAGTGTCAATTTCGTGCTGAACATGGAAGAGAAAGAGCAGGGAAGATACCATCGTATTTTATACTCATTGACCAGTTTTCCATGTACATGTAGCATGTACACGCGCACAAGTTTATCCGTATTATACTATCACTTCGCCACCGCTATCAAACTTGCTCGCACGTACTTACAGTGGGTGTAGAAAGTATTTGTACACCGATCAATTTCCAAAAAAAACTATGTAAAATTGTAATTTATTAACTTATATTTTATAAACAATGACATTCTACATATTCTCGGAAATCTGTAGAATAGATAGATTACAAAAAAATATAGTTATTTATGTAAGTTGCGAAATTAACAAGAAAAAAGAATTAATCCATAGAAATGTTGAAGCAATAAGTATTCGTACAACTGATTAATTTTTAAAACTTCATTAAAAAAAAGAAAAAGAAATTTACATTAATTTACAAGTATATAATTACTTTCTTCGTGGGATTTCCTTTTGATTTTATAATTATTGCAACTCTTCTAAGCGTTAAGTTAACTAAATTATTAGTTATTCGAAGTGGGATCTTCTTCAATTCCTCTATTAGAGCCATTTTTAAAAGTACTTTACTGGGAATTTGATGTTTTCTAATTCGTACGGAGCAATAAACTAATGTGTTTACGTTGCAAACTCTACTGTAAATGGTTCGTCATAAGAATCGTACCAATACTTATTGCTTCTATACTTTTACGCACTCTTCGTATTTTTTTTGTTAATTTCACAAATTATATTAACTAGTAAATGTTGTTTGGACTATATCTATCTTAGAGACTTCCGAGAATATGTAAAATATCATTGATTATACAAAAAGAAGTTAAAAAACTACAATTTCCCCCAAATTTTGGGGGGAAATTGATCGGCGTACGAATACATTCTACACCCACTGTATCTATTTCAAAGTCCTATCCATCGCCTAGGAACCCTCGAAACAGTTAGTTTGTCGCTCCTTGTAGGATGTCGAGATTCAGCGATGACACCATCAAACTCACTTGCCGTTTCTCACAGGGCTTTCAATTTGCTAAGCTTAATTTACGAATAAACGTATATCTAGGTAGACCTGTAAAATATCCAAGATACGTATGGACCAAACTGGCCGGGTTCCACGTGGCGAGCAGGGGATCGTTCCAGCGGTACAACTTCTGGCTCGCGAATTTTATCTGATCCCCGAGTGGTATGGCCTGTTACGTCGTCGGATCGTAAATATCTGACCGTGGCCGATCTTCCTCCCGCAGAGAGGCATTTCGTCCGCGAATGGTCGTTTAATCGCGCCTCTCCTGGCCGAACGGGGCCTGAAAATTTCGAGAGCAGAAGCTAAGTTGATCTGGAGGTTCCCCGTTTTACGATCGTCAAGCCCCCTCGACCCCCCTCTCGTAATTAGAATGTCTCCCCGAGGACAGAGGAGCGGGAACATGTATCGAACGTGGAATATCGCTACCTCGGGAGAATTATGACCGATAAGTGCTCACGGGATTACGGTCCGCGTGTGCCCGCTCGATAGAAAAGTCACTTTATAACCGCGAGCCTCCATTCTTTTCGCGATCGGCTATCGCGTTGCGTTCATCTGCGATCTCCGCTGTTTGATTGCAGCTGCCTGGCGCGTCTCCCGGAGCTGTTTCGACCGTGGTCGCCCCCGTGCTGCTGAAGTATCGGGTCTGCAGGCCCCGATTGCTGCTCGCCGGTTCCAGGGCCGAGGTCGATCCCGCCGCCGACGTGGGACTTTTGCACGGCGAGATTTTGCTCATCGAGGACTCCGCGAGACAGTACGATTCGATCGGAGGTAAGTTCTTCGCTTGTACAGCACGGAGCTGAGATGTTGGCTAGGTACGCAAGTACGAAACTGGGTCAAGGGGACAGTGAAGTAGATCCCACCTGGAGATTTTCACGCCACCCTTCGCACTCGAGGCCTTTTTTTTTGGTATCTATCAGCAACTCGAGATGCTTTCTTTGCATTCTATTGCCACGAATGCTAAGCTTGGATTGACTTCGAAGATGAGATCTCTAATTTGAGATTTGATTATCAGGTCACCCTTACCCCTCCTACTCTCTTTCTTTAACTTTAACTTTAACTTTAACTTTAACTTTAACTTTAACTTTAACTTGACTTGGGGGTTGTTCCAGACACGGATCGTAAGTACAGAGCCACGGAGAAGCTCCTGCACGCCGAAGAGGAGTACCACGAAGCCTTGTGCAGCGCCAAAGAATTGTACGCTCGACCTCTGGCGCGGAACTATCCTGAATTCCACGATGGTATTTTCCAACCCCTCGCGGATCTGTCGGTGGTTACTTCTGAACACTGTCAGAGGGTGAGTATTTTCAATCATGATTGTCTTTGGTTATACACGATGCGAAGGAAGGAGTTCAGACAGGTTTAGTAATATAAGATCTATTTACTCCTAAACATGTACCATTCAGACTTAGCTACATGTACTTCCTCTGACCTGGATAAGGGCTCATCAGGCTCTTGAAAAGACACGTATACTCTTCATATCGAATCCGACACTTCAAGCTGAACAAAAAATTCCTTTAATTTCAAGACACAAATTTCCATTGAATAACACGGATATACGTGCTATATAGTACGGAGATGTGCCATATTTGCATAATTTTCCCGTGAACGGTAGATAGATATCTTCTTAATCGACTGCCCGTGAGCGATTGGTCTGACATAACGAGCGCCTCGGTTGAGAGATGGCGGCACTGAAACCGTTGTTTGGGATCGGGCGTGCGGCACCTGTTGCAAGTGCAAAGCACGTTGCCTTTCTCCTCCTCGTGTCGCAATTACGCTAATTCGAGCCTGCGTGACCTTTTCGAAAGGGAATCGCGGATGATCGAAGACCTCGAGACAATGTTATACCCGGTAGTCCTCAGTCCCGATCGCGTGTTCGATCCCAACTTGAAATTCCCGCTGGAGGGTGTTTCTCGGAATATGTTCCCTTCGAAACTATCGGTAGATGTGGTGGAGCTAATCCTCACGGTCGCGGCCATCGACGAGGAGAAAACGACGATAGATAATCGATTGCTGGGCACGACAAGGTGTTTTCACTAAAAACACCGTGACGAATATCGTCGCCGAGGTTTCCGACTACTGATAAGGCGATCTCGCCCGGGGACAGGCACGTAGCAGCCACTCGCGAGGTGGACGTGTTTTCTTAGGGCTGACAATAAAGAGGATGCTTGTCCTTCGGATGTAAACACAAAGCCACGCCGGCGGAGCCGGTTAACGAGTCGAGATGAGCGATGACGGTGGTTAGCACCCTCATAAATATTGACTTTTACAAGACGAGAGCGGGCTGAACGAGTGCGCTAGCCGGTGGGCTGCCAAGATGCGAACAACCTCGTAAAGTGAAAAAGGCGCTCCCGTTGCCCAGGCGAAGATCGTTTCGCGGGATTCGAGTGAACCCGGCGAGGAAACGCCTACCTTCTTTATTCGGTGCGCTGAAACGCATCGTCAATAACAAAGTTCCGCGCAAAAAGCATGCAAATGCTCCCGGTCGTCTCGCGATGGATCTTCCACCGGAGCTCCCGATCTTCCTCGTGCGGAACGATCCTTGCGATACGGCGCGCAACTTTTCTCTGCTGGTTTGAAAAACTTGGAACAACCTCGATTATTTTCTGCAGAATTTGCATTTTATTTTGCGACACTAACTGCTGGTCTATTTAGAAACGGCGTACAGTTTAGAGGAGGACTTTTTCTGTATTGGTCTATATAAGTGTTTTCCAACGTGGGCCAATTCGATTGTTAAGGGGAGCAATTTGACAATTGTCATTTAAGTTTCTGTACTGAACGTTTCCATTTCTAAATATTCAAAATTATGTATACATTAAGTGGGTGGGGGCTTAAGCGGTTTTAGGAAAGCTTAGGTGGGACACAGCACAAAAAAAAGTTGGGAATTACTGGTCTATATTAATCCTAAAATTATCCATTACGTTTCTATTTCTCATACCATAGTTCTTTGTATTGAGAGAGACAGCTATCGTTGATGTCAACACTTTGATAAAGTGTTACGTTTATATCAAGTATCTCGATTGCAAAGGAATCGTGAAAATTGCCTCGAAACTGCTCTAAAACAAACGAATACCCCGTTATCACCAAAAGTACTCAATCTGCTCGAATTACGCGTTCGGTTTGATGAAACCGTGCGAGTCCCGATACCGAGCAGAACGCGGCTCTCTTTTTCCGGGTACTCGAGGAGCTTTACGCGGAACGCAGAACTCGAAGAATCCTTCGAACCCGCCGAAGGAGCAAATAAAGTAAGAAAATAAGTTTGTCTGTTCACGGCTGCTCCTCTTCAGAAGTCGGTTCGTGTCCCTTTCGAGGAGAAAAAACGAAGAAGATCGGAGCGCCGGTAAAAGAAGCGGAGAGGGGAGAGAGAGAAAGGAAGAGACGGGTCTCTCTCGGTTTCCAGGTGCGCGATTGCTTCTAATTGCCCGAGTGCTGGCCCCAAGGTGCTTCCGAAGTGAAATTGCTCCCTGGCAGAGGAGACCGCGCGATCGGGCAGGCGACAACCAACCGGGAATAAAAAGGGTACAGAGAAGAGAACAGCGGCTCCCGGGTCGCGATCCGCTTCAGAAAAGGCTAACGATTCGAAGCGCTCTCACTAATTAACCTTCGGCCAGCGCGGTTTTGCGCCGAGGCGAGGAGCTATCTGGTGTCGTTCAGGGTTCATAACTCCCCTAGTGAATTTTACGAATACAGAGAACTTTAATTATTTTTCAAACGTGTTCACGCGATACTAGCACTCTTCAGCAAGAGGATTTAGTCTATTCACTGCCAGGCAAATTTGGATCGTTTTGCTTTTGGCGCCAAGATGTAATACAGACGTGTAACCTAGGTTATTATCTCGATAATAAAAAGTGATATTAAATTTGTTGTTTCAAAAAGAAAATTTACGATCTTCTTTGCAAGAATTCGTGACTCGGAAGGCTATAAACTTATCTGTTGAGTAATTGCAATCAATTCAAACTACGAGATATCTCATAGTTGGCAGCGAATGGGTTAATTAATGTAGGACTTTGTTTCGCGCGTAACACGAAGAGCCCCCACCGTTTAATCTATTTCTCTGGCTGATACACGCTTCATTTCCAAGGCCGACTGAAATCGGTTTTTCATGAAAACATGTTTACTCTTACGACAGAGACTTCTTTTACGACCGTAAATTACGTTTTTGCGCGATACAGCGCACCACGGTAACCGCGGTCATGCCGGGGTATGGCTGAAGAGTAGCTGCATCGTGATGCGCACGTGCACCTGCACTGCACGCGGCTCGTTGCACCGAGCCACGGGAATGCGACAACTGCGCTTCGTCGGACCAACGCCCTCTCGTGCCTCCCATTTTTACCCTTCCGCACTCGTACTATTGTAATTAACCTCGAGGCAGCTCCTGGAGTTTCGCAAATGACTTTTCCTTATAGCTTGGCTAGGTAGACGAATAAATCGATTCGTTGATTCTGAACAGTGAAACCTTAACCCATTTATCAGAAATAAATCGTCTTAGCTTTTTCTTCAAAACAGGAAAAATATGAAAGTTCAACTCGATGGAAAGCGTCAGAAGTGGCAAATATGAGGAGGGTAATTGTTCCCACTGATCCAATCGCTTATTATTAAAAACATTGGGTGCATTTATCCGCGAGCCACATGGAATAACCTACCGTCGTTAATTCCACCCAGAATCACTGTTTTCCAAGGGTATCTTCCAATGATTTGATCTGCATTCCAGCTTAAAAGGATGCCCCGACGCGAATTCTTTCCTCGTCTATATCGTACCATACACGGCGATGCTCGAATCAAATGCGTTTTTTTACTTCTGATCCCCTTTTATTTCATTCACATTCGAAAAGGCGTGCACAAGCAAAAAGGCTGAAACGCAGAAGTTCCCTTTTAGACCTTATACGCCATAAAACCGTGAATGAAAGTAAAGCTACCGGAGAGAGGACCCAAATGAAACCCCGTAACCCCTGATAAAATTCCTCTCGCTGGCTCTACCCCGTGTCTCGATTTTTTTCGGGAGTAAGACAACGTTTCCGAAATGTTAGTCGTTAAAGTACCGTACGTACTCGCAGGTAAATACCAATCGTTTCCGTGCCGCGAAGATTTTCTGTCCGTGCGCGCTTTATTGCGCATTAAACTCCGCACAATGCGGTAACGTTCACGCACCTGCAGGGCAAATCGCTCCTCGTCGAGACACGAGAATGTGAAAGCATCGCAACCAGCGGTTTTGCGCTCTTGTTCGTCGTCTGCCGAAAGAACTCGGTGAGAGTGAGTTCGGCGAATTCCTCTGGCGGTGACCGAACCGCGTGGGCGATCCAGCGATCCTCGTCGATGCGCGATTTTCGGAGTTCATACTTAGCACGGTGGTAAAGGAATTAGAAGGATGGGTAAGACCGATTCGTCAATGATTCGTGTACCGATTCTTTTCAGTCCAGTTACGTACGAGTTAGATCCAGTTGACCAAGAAAGCATCGAAACCTTTCCGTAGATAATTCTTGTATGATACTTGTACAGCACGATCCACAGAGGGGTAGTAACCCTAGTTCAACGCGTCATCTGTCAGATATTATACTTGTTAAATCAATAAGTGCCTGAAATTTTGTTTCAATGCAATCAAAGCTGTATAAACATTCGTTGTAGTACTTATGTCTGCCATCTCTCCAAATTCAAGCATTCTATCTAGATACTTTGACTCCCTGACGTTCAGAATTCTTGTGATTCCTTGGTGAAAATCTTTTTCCTCTGCTATATGTGACAAACGACGTGTCAACAAATTTTCATTTCACTTCTCGATATATTGAATTTGATATCCATAGGATAATTGTATCGTAATTCCATCGGAGCGAGAGGAAAACGCGTATTCGATACCGCAGGGGGAAAAATGGCCGACAGACGTCACGATTCCGCGATATCGCGGCAGAAAATTCAGAAAGATGGCGCATTAAGATACCGACGCGCATTCCGCGAGATGAAAAGACAGGAATGCAGGGAAATTAATTAAGTGGCGCGCGATGATCCGGCAGCGCGTACATTATCGCACGGAGATCAAAGAGTTCTCGAGAACCGACGCGACGCGCGTTAGTTCCTCTCCTGCCACGTCCTGTCCTCGACGGACGCAGGAGCGGCCTCCGATCCTGAACAGGACGCAATTTTATTCGCATTAGGGCGTCGCCGCTGCCACGCCCGCGAACCCAAGGGGGTGACCAACACGAATCTGTCGCAGTGTGATCGTTCTGTTGCCATTCTGATACGGGAAAGTCACTCATTGAGTGAAACAGTGTCTTTAAAAGGATATGAAGTCAGTCGTCCAGGATGTGGAATTACTTGAAACAGTGGTTAAACGCGTGGTGAAACGCGAATTTTACCTGAATTTTAGAATTTTTCGTAAAAGAATTAAATTTGCAATTTTCGTCATCAAAGATAAGCTTTCAACCATTACGATATGTTCAGACCTGTACCACCTACCAAAAATCGACATGGACTTTGCAGACAACCCAATATTAGTTGAATCGATCAGGAACTACGGAAAATACAGTCAGAACTCTTAATTATTTATGAGCTTCCACAAAGTGATCTTCCTGCTTTACACAGCCAAGTATGTTCTTAAAGAATATGCAACCACAAATATGGATTTTTTAATTCCCTCGATCTCCTCGCGATCTTTATCGCTCAGGGCCTCTTTCTCTTCCGTTTTCGCGGATAAAAAAGGGGAGAGGATCGAGCGGAAAGTGGAGCACGGATGAGGAGTGGTCCAAACGCGAGAGAGAAAAAGTTTTGAAGGAAGACGCCGTAGGAAAGTGGATGATCGTCGTTGTGGCGTTTCGTCGGGAAAGTGGACTGAGATACCGGATCGTCGAGAATGGTTTCGATTTCATCG